CTTGGGCTTTGATTTCTTAAAAATTGAGCTTTGAAACATGATATTCTATGTGTTTATAAATGTTTTCCAGAAAATGGGCCCAAGAGGATTGGCTTTGATGCTTTTGAGCTTGGTTTTGAACCTGGAGCTCGAATCTGGGATTTCCAGATTTCAGTCGTCCGCTCGAGCGGGGGAAGTGCCGCTCGAGCGGGAAAATCGAGCTTCCAGCATCTTGCACTGTTTTACAGTCCGCTCGAGCGGAGGATTGGGCGCTCGAGCGGAGTCATGTCTCAAGCTCGAGCGGGCGTCGAGCGGGGATTTCACCCATCCAGTACCTTTACAGTACGCTCGAGCGGGAAAGTTTACGCTCGAGCGTGTACCTTTGTTGCATGACCGCTCGAGCGGGGAAACGTGCGCTCGAGCGGGACTCTGTTTTTCTGAAAATCCTGAAAATGCTTTTAAATGTGCATCTTTGCATCCTCATCCCGTTCTAGGCATTCTTAGGCCTAGTTTAAGACATCTAGATGAGGATATCGTTGTAGAACACACCAAGGCAAATTAGGGATTAAGTTATGATATTTCCCAACTGTGTAGCTTAGTGTGTGTTCAACCTGTGAACTGTGTAGGGTTGGCAACTGGGGAGACACGCTCTAGCATACTATAGCCCGAACTCTGTGAGTAACAATTGTGTAAAGAAATGTTCAACTGATATCCCATTGTGTTCCTTGGGCTCGTAACTATTATTACAATACTTATAAGCAAAGTATTGGGTTTACTAGGCCTTTGGGTTTTCATCATTCTTCTTACCCAAGGCAACAGTACCATTCTATTCCTTCACATCATTTTCATCACAGGGGCTGATTCAACAACTACAAGGCTTTTCCTTATTGTTGTTATTTTTCTAATTTTGTTTTTTTTTTTTAGTTTAGTATTGTAATATTCACATTTGAATTTTCATAGAAACACATTTTGTTTTTAATATGGCTATTAAAAATACCATGGATTCTTCAAGGATCGAAATTCTTAATGGAAATAATTTCCGAGCATGGAAACGCCATATTTCTTATTTTCTTACACATGAGAAAACATTGCATACTTTATCCACTTCTAAACCAGATGATGATTCTAATTGGTTCCAAAATAAATGGATGGAAGATGATGCAATGGCAAAGGCAACTATGCTACATAATATGAAAGATAACATTATTTCGCTCTTTGAAGAACATGAAACTGCAAGATAACTAATGGAAGCACTAGAAAGTAAGTATGGAGTTCGATCAGATACTCAAATTCAATTGCTCTTGGACAAATGTAATAACACTCGTATGAGTGATAATGATAGTGTTGGTGATCATGTTAATCAAATGGAATTAATTGCTAAAGAATTATCCAACGCTGGTCATTCTTTGGGCAACAGATGGGTAGACAAATATAATTTGTTCGATAACATAATACCGAAGTAATTCAAATGGAATATGTGTAATGAGAAAAATCTATAAGAGTTTTGAAAAGGATTTAATTTAGGATTAATTTTATTATTATAAATGGTGTAATGAGAATTTCAATTATTTTTTAATGGTATAATGAGAAAACAAATGTAAAAAGGTAAAATTGTAGTGTAAATAAAATCTCCCAAATGAATTTCCTATATAGATTTTTTTACCAGTAATGAGACTCCCACTTCCACTCTTTATTTCATTTTACTTGTATGATACTTTGGCCTACTTTGGAACTTGGCTTTTTGACTTTTAACTTATTTTGGATCACATTCTTTCTCTATTTTTTTTTACATATATACATATTAAAAAAAAAGTCAATTTTTTATTCGTGAACATGCTCGAACTCGGTTTTTTTTTTCAAGCTTGAGCTCGAGCTCGAGTTTGAACTCAGCTTGTTTATGTAATCGAGCGAGGTTAAGCCGACCTCGAGTTCAACAAATATTTGACGAGCTGAGCTCAAGCTTGATTTTTGAAATTCGACTAGAGCTCGGCTCGAGCTCGACTAAAATTTAATAAACAAATTTGAACATTCAAAAATTCAATTAGACTCGGCTCATTTGCAGCCCTATATATAATGAGATGATAATGTGTTATAATTAGAAGCTCCTAAAAAGGTAATCCACACGATGCTGGCTATTAGGTAAAGCCAACAAATGGCCCACAATTTTGAAAGATTTTTAATTATTGTAAGAGTAATATTATATAAACATATTTTTTGTTCAAAAATTTCATATTAAATGATATGACATTTCTAATAATTTCTTATCAAGCAAAAACACATATTGTGTTTCATAATTTCAAAAATATCACCATTACGTAATTTGTTTTTATGGATATTATGCATGAAAATTATGTTTGTGAATAATTTTCTTTTTTATTTATTTATTTAACAATATAAAATCTATGGACTTTAGGGGAGAAAAAAAAAGACTAATGAATGGAGGAGAATAATCATGAATAGGAATAAATCTTTAATGCTGAAAAGATTATTGCAAGAGTGATTATTGTCGTTGTAGACTTAAACTATCTTAAGCGGATCCTAATCTCACATTAAATTGTTGTTTCATCCTAACATGAAAGCTAAGTTTCTTCGGAAAAATTATAATTTTGTTGGCTTTTTGGCTTTTCGAAGGGTATTTTTGTAAATGTGGGCGTGCCAGCAAGGATCAATCAGTCCTTACAGAAATTGTGATTGCCAACCAATTATCAGACGATTGTGTTTTAGTTCTTTTCAGCCTCAATGAAGAGGACTTTTACTGGTGGCTTGACTTAGGAGAAATTAAGAGAAATAACAGTGATATGAAGAACAATTGAAGTATTTCATAAAAATGAACACTTACAATGGTCCGAACTCAGCCTCGGAGAGGTTTACAACAGCAATCTACTTGAATCTACTTGAAGCTACTCCTATGAATCGAAGTGCAGTGCGGGTATTTAAAGTGCAGGTATTTAAAGGACATGTATTTAAAGACTGGAAATGTAAAAGACTGGAAAAGAAAATATATGAAGTAAATGACTGATTTGTATGATCTGAGTCCTCATTCTTTTTTTCTGGGGGCTGCCCTGCTATTTATACTCGTCAGTGATGACCTTCGAACTGTACTTCGAACCGTCGAACTGCTCCTCCATGATCGCTGATCATGCTTCCTTACAAGTAGCTCCATTACGCCATTACTGGCAGTTGAGCTTCCCTCTTGTACTTGAATTTGAATATGAGTAACCGTTGAAGATATGTCATCTTGCATCCCGTTATTGATCTAGTGTTACTCAGATCATGTGAGGACCAATATTTATTGCCACGTGTACGATCAGGATTAAAGGCTTGAATAACCTTCCTTTATTACCCTTACTCTGCCACGTGTCAAACTGTAACTGGCTTTTACAAAATATGTAGCCAACAGTACTAGAGACCTAATTTAGTGACTCTAAACCTACCACTAATGAGGTGAAAAAGTAAAAAAAAAAAAAAAAAAAGACACAATACAAACTGTGGCAGTGGGTACATCACTAGTGATAGCTCTAATTAGAACTCCCACTCATTTTCCAATAAAAATATTTCAAGTTCAGGTATGCAACTGGCTGTCCAGCAAAAAAGAGAAAAAAGTGACTACCCTAGATTCCATGTAGAGTCGCCCATGTATGTACGTATATAATGCTTTTCTCTAGGAGTGGAACAAGATGATCATGTGGTTATTCCAGAGGAACTCCCAGAAACTGTAACAGCTTTGGTCATAGATGATATGACTGGAGCTCATTTTGTGAGGGATTAGCCCCTAATAGCTACTTGTTCTTTGAGACCTTTCTCTGTTTCTTTATGTTTCATCTGAATCCAAAAAAAAAAAAAGTATGTAATGCTTTTCTCTGTGATGTGTAAAACAGTCACAACACATGCTATATCAAAAATTGACTCAACCAGGGAAAGACAGTTTGAATACCATACATAGCCAAGAACCTACTGAAGACTAGATATATTACTGATTTAAGCAACACAAAAATAGTGTATATATCATAAGAAATTGAGCTTAATTAGGGACTTTCAAAAACAATTTGAGAAATTTGGCAAAATTGCTAATACCCTGTAACAGATTGAAAGAATTGCACAATATGAGTCCCATATGTTTCATCTATTGGGATTGATAAGCAAGAGGAATTAATTATATGTACCATCCATTAGCTTCAATAATATTCATTAATCACTACTGTCATTGAGTTCTAAAGCCTAAATCATCCACCATAGAGATTACATATAGTCTAAGAGAATGAAAACATTAGGAATCAGTAAAATGCACATAGGGCATGCACTTGGAATTCATGCTTACGCATCAACCTCACATCAAACTGCAACATGTAACGCCTTCCCCGGTTTGGGTAGTGTTAGCCGGCGGAGGTGGTGGTCCTAGTGGAAACCCATGACCCGATGGCTCTTGCAGGGGTTGATACTGACTCCTCGATTGAGGACGGTCCCCATAGCCCCCATAATGGAGATGCCTATTGTCTCCATAGAAAGTGTGTCCTCCATAACTGCCTCCGTGGTAGCCATTTCCTCCACACCCTCCATAGTAGCCGCCGCTGCTTTGTCCTCCCCAACCGTAATAACCATCATGTTCATTGTTAAAACCTACTCCACTACACCTACTCCACCTACTCCACTACACAACTCCACCTACTCCACCTACTCTCCACCCACATCTCCTATATAAAGGAGACCAACTATGTACATATAAATCAATCAATAATATCACATACAATTTATTCTCTCTCTATTTCTCTATACATTAATTCTAACAGTCTCTCTATTTCTCTTTATACATTAAATTTAACATGGTATCAGAGCAGGATTAGAACCTAGTATTTTCGCTTCACCGGCGGGCGGCAATCTCACCTTAGCCGTCCGCCGGACCTCAACCTATTCCGTTTATTTTCTACACATACCTTCCCATCGTTGCCCAAATACTCTCTCCCTTACACTTTGTCCTGACTCTAATTGTTAGAGACTGCGACGATGCGGTGGCGTCTTCGCTGCCGGTTTAGTTGTTGAGGTGGGATTCGCTGCCGTCGGGCTCCCTACAGCTTCGCCACTGCCGCATTGCCTTCTTCGCCTCTCTCTCTTCTTTGCCTCCTTGTCGTCGCTCCTCGCCATCGCCTTCTTACCTCCTCTCTAGATCTTTGCCGGCGGCGTGTCTAGTTCAATCGTTGACCTCCAAATCTAGATCCCAGAGATTAGCAACGATCCACACCAACATGGCGAACACAATGGCTCGGTCCTTTCTGCAAGTGGCAGCCACAGAGGAGGTCGCTCCCCCGCCTAGAGTCGTTCAGATCGAGGGTCTGGTTATACTGAAGATTATCAAACACTGCAAGGAGCTTTCCCCAGCTCTTGTCACAGGGCAACTTCTTGGGTTCGATGTTGGCAGTGTTCTTGAAGTTACTAATTGTTTCCCTTTTCCAATTCGGGATGAAGATGAGGCGATTGAAGCAGATGGTGCCAATTATCAGCTTGAAATGATGAGATGTTTGCGAGAAGTTAATGTGGATAATAATACTGTTGGATGGTACCAATCAACTCTGTTAGGATCTTTTCAGACTGTGGAACTGATTGAGACCTTTATGAATTACCAGGAGAATATAAGACGGTGTGTCTGTCTTATCTATGATCCTTCAAAGTCTTCCCAGAGATGTGTGGTATGGATTTGATTACTGCACTGGTCTTTCTGCCTCCACCTAATCAACGGTCAAGATCAATCTAGGACCCATCCACGTGCTTTGTGTTTCGTTTTGTTGCATGTCTTTGATGTGATGATGACTTTGGGAGAGTTATTGTCCTCTTTTGCACAAACCCATACCTCTTTTTCTTTTTCTTCTGAAGCAACTAAACCAATCTTCACCTTTTTCTTTTCTCTCACTTTACTTTTTCCACCACCCACAACCCATTATCATCACCATTCCACCAATAATAATATATATATATATATATATGTCTCTTTTTATTCCATCACACCAAACTTATTGGGCCACCTGTCCACCCACGTTGGCTCCACTTTTCATTTTCATTTTTCCGTTTCACATACTCACAAAAAAAAAAAAAAAAAAAACCCTACAACCTTTTTTTTTTTAACATCTTCACTTATCTTTATTGATGAAACATACGAAGTATGGAAAAATACATCAATGAAGAGGAGCTTGGAGCTAACATAAGCTCTAAGCTCCAGTCGGTGAGAAGCCAACAAGCAAGAACAAGCAAAGGAAGCAAAATAGCAAACCAAAATGCAGTCCCAGCTAACCAAAACAGAGCTTCTTGGTCAGCACAGTGGATCAACTCATATCACTGCTGCCATGCCATGAACACTATCAACCAGAATACACCCAGAAAATGCAGAACTCAGACCAACTCCAACAGTGCATAATGCAGAACCTCACACTTTGTCTCCACACATGACTTCAATGTATACTGATTCGCCTCAATATCTGATTGCGCTGCCATTATTTGCTCCACAGACCGCATAGGAAAGGTCAACGGAGCAAAACCAGGGGCGCTTGGTTGGGGTTCCAGGGCCACCGCACCGGTTATCTCTCTTGTGGACTCGTTGAGGTCGGGAAAGAGAGTGAGCAGACCACGGGAAGAAGAGGCCATGTTCTGGGTAGCTAAACGGGAAGAAGAGGTCATGTTATGGGTTGCTGAGTGTTTCAGATATTACAGAGTGTTTCAGGGTTTGCAGCTCTTAGAGAAAAGCTCTCAGAGAACGAAGAGGTTTCAACTAGTTAGTTTTGCTTCCAAGCCTCAGGCTTCGCTTTGGTTTATATCGCCAATGCCGAAGAGGACGACACGACACTCTGTCGGTCACGTGCATCGCTGCGTGTCCGGCGCCTCTTTTGATGGCTCGACGCTTTCTGTCGGGCACGACTTTTGATGCAGTGGGCGCGCCTTTTGAGGGCGCGACTTTTGAGGGCTCGATATATATATCCATGTATATATATTTGGGCAGCCTATATACACCATCATCCAGTGTATTCTACAACGGTCCGACATGACCCCCTAAACTGTCCCGACATTTGATTCCGGTTAGCTTTTCCAACGGTCCGGCATGACCCCATAAACTGTCCCGACCTTGATTCCGGTTAGCATCTACATCGGTCCGGCATGACCTCATCAACTGTCCAGACATTATCTGCTACAACGGTGTGACAGGACCATACCGTGTCTTCAACAACAATTTGACACAACCATACAGTGTCTTCACCAACGGTCTGATACGACCATACAGTGTCTCCTATCCACTTTTATTTTATGTATTAGTCTATTTTCTTATTTTGTTACTCTTTCCAAACTCAAGTTGATTTGTGTCTCTCCTCCTTGAGTTTGGGGGGGCTGTTAAAACCTACTCCACTACACCTACTCCACATACTCCACTTCACCTACTCCACTACACAACTCCACCTACTCCACCTACTCTCTACCTGCATCTCCTATATAAAGGAGACCAACTATGTACATATAAATCAATCAATAATATCACATACAATTTATTCTCTCTCTATTTCTCTATACATTAATTCTAACAGTCTCTCTATTTATCTTTATACATTAAATTTAACATTCATAGTAACCAATGCTTCCATGTTCATGATAATCGGGTATATAGAGGTTGCTAGAACATTGCCCAAACTGCCACCAGCAAAGCTTGGCACGCTTTCCTACTTTCGCAAGCACCTTCAGTAGCAAGTTTGGATCGATTGTGCCCGACACTTCTATCTTTCCATCTTCATCCATTCTGAAATTACTCACTCCTATACCACCACAAAAATAAATAAATGAATAAAAATAAAAGTAATTGATATCAAACTAAAATAAACATTCATGAAATGTTATTACCCTGGATATTGCTCAGAACTGTAGACACAATCTTTTGCCATCCGACGGTGTGGACATTCACTCTCAGAATACAAGCCTGCAGATAATAATTTTATGTACAAGAAAAACAAGATTTGTTAAAGTTGATGTATAGAGAAATAGAGAGAATGAATTATGTATTGATTGATATATTATGTACATAGTTGGTCTCCTTTATATAGGAGATGTGGGTGGAGAGTAGGTGTAGTGGAGTAGGTGAAGTAGGTGGAGTTGGGTAGTGGAGTAGGTGAAGTAGAGTAGGTGGAGTAGGTGTAGTGGAGTAGGTTTTAACAGCCCCCCGCAAACTCAAGGAGGAGAGACACAAACCAACTTGAGTTTGGAAAGAGTAACAAAATAAGAAAACAGACTAATACATAAAATAAAAGAGGATAGGAGACACTGTATGGTCGTGTCAGACCGTTGGTGAAAACACTGTATGGTTGTGTCAGACCGTTGTAGGAGCTAACCGGAATCAATGTCGGGACAGTTTATGGGGTCATGCCGGACCGTTGTAGAGGCTAACCGGAATCAATGTCGGGACAGTTTATGAGGTCATGTCGGACCGTTGTAGAGGCTAACCGGAATCAATGTCGAGACAGTTTATGGGGTCATGTCGGACCGTTGTAGAATACACTGTATGATTGTGTATATAGGCGGCCCAAATATATATAGATGGATATATATATATCGAGCCCTCAAAAGTCGCGCCCTCAAAAGGCGCACCCACTGCATCAAAAGCCGTGCCGGTGAGCCATCAAAAGTTGCGCCAGACACGCGGCGATGCACGTGATCGACAGAGCGCGTGTCGTCCTCTTCGGCATGGTCTACATAAACCAAAGCGAAGCCTGAGGCTTAGAAGTAGAACAAACCAGTTGAAACCTCTTCGTTCTCTGAGAGCTTTTCTCTAGGAGCGGCAAACCCTGAAACACTCTGTAACATCTGAAACACTCAGCAACCCATAACATGGCCTCTTCTTCCCGTTCAGCTACCCAGAACATGGCCTCTTCTTCCGGTGGTCTGCTCACTCTCTTTCCCGACCTCAACGAGTCCACAAGAGAGATAACCGGTGCGGTGGCCCTTGAACCTCAACCAAGCGCCCCTGGTTTTGCTCCGTTGACCTTTCCTATGCGGTCTGTGGAGCAAATAATGGCAGCGCAATCGGATATTGAGGCCAATCAGTATACATTGAAGTCATGTGTGGAGACCATGACGGCAGTCACAAACTTGTCGCACCATCTTCAGAGTAGGACAAATGAGGTGCAACAGTTAAACGCCCAACTGGCTCTGCTCCAGCGCATGTATAAGGATGCGCGAGCAGAGATAAGTGTGCTAAAGGCGGAAAACAAGGAGCTGAAGCGGAAGGCCACCGTTATGTTCCGATTTGGAGGTCCGCCATATGCTGCAGTGGAGGAGCAGGGGGGATTGAACGTGCTCAGTGGATTAGGAAGTACTGAGACTAGGCTGTCACGGACACCCAAGATAAAAGTAAGAAGAAGAGAATAGTGGAAGAGGCAAAAAAGTAAGGCCAGTGTTGGGGATGGGATTTTTTTGTTTGTTTGTTTGTTTTTTTTTTTTTTTTTTTTTTTTTTTTTTTTTGGTTGTTTTTTTTTTATTTTTATTGTGGTGTAAAATTGTGATCGGGATTGATCCCGGCATGAAAAAATGACAAGTTTGTGGAATGAAAAGCGAGTTGGTTGTGAATGGATTTTTTTTTTTTTTTGGAATAAAATCAGCCATCATTCAGTAATGCAGTTGCTAAAGAGAAATATTAAAAGAGAGTGGTGGAAAAAAAAAGTTTAAAAAAAATGATGGGAAAGAAAAATAAATGTGGGTATTTAAAAGAGTGTAAAAGTAGGTTGGAGAAAACAAATAAAAATAATTGATTTTGAAATCAAACGTGATAAGAGGAGAGAGAGGAGACAAGCCCATGTGATAAAGTGGAGAGAGAGCTGGGTATGCAGAGGAGCATGTTTTGTGCTGGTGGAGATTGGGGTAAAAATAAAAAAAGGGGTATGGGTGTGCAAAAGGTGGTGGATGATGGATTGAAAAGTAGACATAGTGTGGGTGTCCTTGAGTAGAGAGAGAGAGCTTGGTTGTAGTGGTCTGTTGCTTTATCATCGAGTTTGCAGAGGAGAACAAAATTAAGCCACGTGAATCAGTGGCGTTTTATCTAGCAGCTATGTTCCCTTGACTAGGGATGGCAATTTGAACCCGGCCCGACGGGGACCCGACCCCCCGACCCCGATTAGAATGGTTTTTTCCCGAAAAATACCCCCGTGGAGACGTGGATGGTATTTAAAATTAAATCCCCGATCAATTTCGGGCCGGGGATGGTGATAAATTTCCCTTCCCCAGCCCCGGCCCGGCCCCGCCCCGCAACTTCCCCGAAACTTCCCCGTATGTGCATATGTCTATATTATATTATATCTATCTATATAATATTATTATATGTTTGTTTGGGTTATTGTTTAGGATATATAATATTATATTATATTTATAATATCATATATATGTTATTTTATGTTATAGTCAGGTGCCTTTCTCACTCACTCAATCTATTTCACTTCATCTCTGAGTTTCAACCTCAGCCCCTTTCTCTCTCTCTACACAGGTGGTCTCACGAGGCTCAACCTCAGCCTCTCTCTCCTCTCTCTCTACGCAAGTGGTCTTAGGGCATCGGCGACGAGCGAGCTCCTCTCATCACCGTCGATCGTCGCTGTCCTTCCCCCATAGCCGTTGTCCCTCATCTCCATCACCGCCATCTCTCCATCGTCGCCGATTACAGTCGTCTCTCTCTCTCTGAATGTGTTAATTTTTTTTTTTTTTTTTGAGCTCAGATCTGTTTCGATCTGTTGTATATATGTTAAATCTAGTGTTGAATATGTATTTGGGCTTAGATCTGTTGAATATAGCGATATATATGTTGATATATATGTTGAATATAGCTCAGATCTCTCCCTGATTCTTGTTGTTGTTGATATATATGTTGATGTATGATGAAGAGATCTGTTATTGAATGTGTTGTTTTTTTTGTTTTTTTTTTTTTGATCGGTGAATTTTTGGGGTCGGGGAAACCCGATCCCCGTTAGGGGACGGGGGTGGGGGCGATGAGAGACTCCCCGTCGGGGATCGGGGCCGGGGACGGGGAAATTCGTACCTTCGGGGATCGGGGACGGGGAGTGTGATCCCCGGCCCTGCCCCGTTGCCATCCCTACCCTTGACAGTAGATGATGCACGAGAAAATGAAGATAAGAAGGTCTTGTCTCATGAAATAAGATCCTCGGATGTAGATTCCCACAAACGGATGAGAGACACAATTTCAGAAAGAGTTTGGTCTGATAAGCTGCCATCATTTCTTTCAAGTTCATTTGCAATATCCAGTCTAAAAGATGAACAGCATGAAGATGTGAAAGAATCAAGTTTACAGAAGGTGACTGGAAGCTGACGGGGATTGTGAACGGCATTGATACAATAGAGTGGAACCCGCAATTGGATGTTCACTTGAAATCCGATGGGTACACAAATTACTCCCTCGAGACCCTCCAGACCGGCAAGGCACAATGCAAGGAGGCATTACAGAGGGAGCTCGGTTTGCCCGTTCGTAGTAACGTCCCATTAATTGGTTTCATAGGGAGGCTTGATAACCAAGAAGGCATTGATATAATAGTGGAGGCTGTTCCTTGGATGATGGGTCAGGACGTGCAGCTTATCATGTTGGGCACGGGAAGAGCTGACTTAGAACAGATGCTCCGACATATCGAGTCTCAACATCACAACAAAAAAAGGGTATGAGAGAGAGAAATGAAGGTTGGGGATGGAGGGTTTGGTCTCTGGTCTGTCACGGTTGGGTCACAGCGTGACAGTGTCTGTAGAAA